CGCTGGGGCCGCAAATCTTTTGGAACTTGGATCAATCAGTCATGGTTCATGGAGAATAGGGTAATTTGTTATGCGGACGACTTGGTGATGATTGCTAAAAGCTGGAGGAGGCCCAAAATTTGGTCTTATCAGAATTCAAAATGCAAGAGGTGCTTTTTATAAATATTTCAAACTGTGGAGATTCAGGGAGATATCGGTTTACACTAGGCTACGAATCTTTAATTCCACCATTATACCAATTCTCCTTTATGGCTGTGACATATGGGAGATAACAAAGACAGAAACCAGGAAACTACAGACGTTTGTCAACAAATGTGTTAGAATAATAAATGGCATCTTTTACCCCAACATTATCTCAAATGATAACCTTTGGAAGAGGTCACGCCACACTCAAGTACATGTGACTTTAAAAAAGAAGCGTCTCACCATTTTTGCTCATATTCTGAGAAATCATACAAATAATAGCCTCTCGAGGCGATAAACTGGTTATATTCCTTCAACGGCAAAACTTATGAGAAGTTTAAAACTTTATGGTTTTATAGTGCAATAAAGGATATAATGGATTTAAATGTAAACACGAAACACTTTCTAAGGTTGAATAAAGAAACTGCTAAGGATAAAATTAAAATTATTTAAATCTCCCATAAACTCCTCCTAGAAACAGATAATTTTTACTTTTGTTTATTTTCCTTTCTTTTACCTTCGCTGCCTTTTCTCTCTTCTCATTCTTATCTGACTTATTTTTCCTTTCCATTCATTATTTGCTCTTAATTTTCCCATCATATATCTAATGTAACTTGTGATTAAAAAAGGTCCCCCTTCGCCTTTAAAGTAATTAAGTATATAAGCATTTTACGGTTGTGGGCTGTGCTTATTTTTGACCATTCCCCAGCCCACAGACGTTTAAGTGATAGTCCTAGGACTATTAGGTGTACAAGTTCGCGCGGCTCATCTTTATCCCCATTTTTAATTTGTCTAGTTAGATGGATTATGAGGAAAACCTAACGTGTTGTATCCAGAACTAAAGGGCGAAAGCGTTTTTTTATAAGGTATCACGTTATCACGTAATATAAATGTAATTTTTTTTTTCTAGTTAAAATATAAATGTATTTATTTTTCTTTTATTTGATATTCTTTTATTTTATTTCTAATTCTTACAATGGTAGCTTTTTAATTCTTACAATTATAACTTGTTCTTCTCTTTACTAAAACGCAAACTTTTTACCAAAATTCTCTTTATATAGACATTGTAGAAATAGAAATAATATTTGAAAAAAAAAACATAAACTTTTTAAAACAACAAAACAATATTATTAAAAATAAAATATATCTAATCTACACTAAACCATTAAAACTATTTAAAATAAAAAAAATAACAAATCTTCGCGAAAAAAAAAATCAATAATTCTTTCCAACACATTTCAACGCGAAATAATAACATAAAATATAATTTGTTCCAACTACATCAAAAGCAACATCTAATACATAGACAAAGCAACATCTGATATTTATTCTTTATTAATCTCCACTAAAAAACAAAATTATTTCAAAAGATCCCCTTTTGATTGACATTTCATATATGGTCAATTCCATATCAAATCAACAAAAAAAAGTCGATTTTCAACCCGACCCCACCCCCTTCAATTTTTCTTAAATTTTGTATACTGGTAGTATATACTAGAACTAAGAAAAAAATTATATTTTATCTACAACACTGTTTACCCGCTAAAATATGGCCGTTAAAAGCGCGGAAAAATGGTACATTTTTGACAAAATGCACTTCATTTATTTTCAAATATCTCGAGAAATAATTATGTTAGAAAAATAATTTATATTGTATTTTATAGCTTAATAAATGTTCTTTAAAATGACATAAAAATAAATATGATGAACATTTTATTAATATCGAAAACCGGATGTGTAAAACCGAAAATGGCCATAGAAAAAGGTATTATTTTTTCAAAATTTTATTTCTGTAGATAGATATCACACTGCTTTATATTTGTGCAAAATCCTAAACTGGGATCAACATGGGTTTAGGAGTTATCACTCTTTATATGGCTTAAATTGAACAAATTTAACATTAATATCATCATATTTTAATTTAATGAATATTTATGAAATAATGTTAATTTAAAAATTATGTCTAAATGATATGCCCTTACTCTTATTTATCTTTATAAAAAAATTTGAGAGGTGGCTGGGATAATGAGTTGTTTAAAACTTTAATTAAATTTCTCAAAGTTACTTGACAAAATAATTCTAAACATATTTATAACTTTATTTGCCTCAAATTGCATTACATATAATACAATCAAAAATTTATAATTAAAATATATCATATATTATAATCATCCAAGGAATTTTAATAAATTATGACTTTTGTTTTCGTCTAGGGGAATAAAAGCTTGGAACTTTGTGTTCCAGAAATTCTCCTTGCTCTCAAAAATCTGCTTTTAAGATAAATTTTTATGTTCATATATTCATTATTGCTCACAAATATATAATTTACCCCATAGATATTATTTCTTGCATAGTTAAATAAATCCATTATTGTCAATATGTGATGTTCATATGGACGTTGCAAGTGCTCGAGCTGCTAACCGTTTAGTAACGGCCCCCAAAATGTCGCATGGACTTTTACCTTGTGCGGTTTCAAAAAATGTCACTCAGCCTTTATCCCAATTTTATTTTTATATTGGTTACTGCTCCATCAGAAAAAGAATAAATTTTAGCCACTCTGTTAAATCTTTCCTTCAAGTATACGATCAATTTTTAAAATAAATAAAATGCACATGCGTTGTGCTTTAATCAATCTGATATAACCACTAAATTTACATGTTTTATTATGTTGGTCTCACGGTAATAAATTATAGGAGTTGATAGTGGCTTGATTATTGGTCTGATTAAATCCTTGTGCATGGTTCTGCACTACAAATGCATAGTTTTCTGAGAAGTCTGAAATAACTAAGAACTCGCCAACGTTTCGAATTAATGATTATCGTGAAGCTATAAACAAATGAGGAATTAAATTGTTTATTTATTCAATTAAATAATCTACAAATTCGTCAGCGGATTTTGTCAGCTGTTTCGAAAGTAGTTCGATTAACTGTTATCCATTGTTTGAATGTTTTATAATCTATAGAATTCTCGTCAAATAATATATTAAGCCTTTCTTTTTTTTTGAATATATGGGGGAAAATTTAATGTTGAATTTCAATTTTCGTAGATTATCGAGATAAAATTTAACTAAAGTTTTAAACAACTCATTATCCCAGCCACTTCTCAATTTTTTTTTATTAAGATAAAAAAAAGTAAGGGCCTATTATTTAGACATAATTTTTAAATTAACATTATTTCATAACTATTCATTAAATTAAAATATGATGATATTAATATTAAATTTGTTCAATTTTAGTCATATAAAGAGTGATAACTCCTAAACTCATGTTGATCCCAGTCTAGAATTTTGTACAAATATAAAACAGTGTGATATCTATCTAAAGAAAAAAAATTTTGAAAAAAATACCTTTTTTTTCTATGGCCATTCCCGGTTATACACTTCCGGTTTTCGATATTAATAAAATGTCCATTATATTAATTTTTATGTCATTTTAAAGAACCTTTATTAAGCTACAAAATAAAATTTAAATTATTTTTTTAACATAATTTTTAAATAAAAAATTTATTAAAAATTAATCTTCATATTATTCATCGCACAATGTCTTTAAAAGATAATTTCTAATGTCCTCTTATCAATATTTTATAGTTTTCTGTAAAATATTTAATTCGCTATATTGGTAAAAATTACTTGATTGTCATTTGATAATTGATAAAATTAGATATACTGTAAATCTACGACATATAATATTCCACTGTTTGTATTGTGTTTTTATTTTTTTATTTAATTTATGATTTAATTTTATCAATAGTTTTATAATTAGAGTTTAATTTTATTAAGATAAATAAATTAAAATTACTCACTTTATAAAAAATTATATTTGATATATTATATTATTTAGTAATTTTATGGATCTATTATTAATAATTATAATACATTTCACTTTTGTCTTGAGACTTATCTTTGGCTTATATTCCATCTCTTAAAAAGCATTTTTGGTTCACTTTTTTTATATATAAATGCTTTTTTCCAAAAATGTATAAATTATGATGAATAGTTTTATAAAAAATATATCAACCTCTCTTTCAAATTATTGTTTAAGATATATGCAACATTTTTGGGGGTCAGGGAGTAGGGGGAGGACTAAGGGGGATATTTTTTATTAGCTTAAAATGATATTCACAAAAAGTAATAAATATCTGAAAGGGGGGATTTTCCCCTTGCCCCCCCCCCTGGCTACGCCTATGATATATGTAATTTTATATTTTATATAAAAATAAAAATATATTTTCTATTCGTTCCAGACTTTCTTTTTAATATAATCCCTTAACCATTTTCATATATTTAAAATTTTTTTAAATTAAAATTGCCTTTCTATTTTGTAAAAATATTTTATAACTATACTAAGAAAATTTTTTAATCCCCCCTCCTCTTAGGAGAATCCTGGTTCCGCCCATGTGCAATGAACTATCAAAGCTAGGCATAAAAAATCTATATTTTAATTCTAACATCTAGAGAAGATACCATCGCTTATATAATTTTTTTTAAAAATGTAATGTTATTTTTTAAATATATTATTATTGGAAATTATTTATATGGTCTGACTCTGAATACTAAATAAAATAAAATACATTTTAAAAAATGACTTTTTACACCAAATATTTACATGATCTTCTTCAGCTTCACCTTCAGAGATTCAAAAATATTTTCAAAATAAGTGATGGTGATTTAAACCGTAGTATTCTATGGCTAAATAGTTTAAATGTTATTAATAACAGATACGTGCCAAAACACTAAAATTATTTTATATTATAATCATTAATAAATTTTTATTATCGGATTCTTTTTATAACATTAAAAATCTTTCAATGTCAAAATGGTCAATCACTTTTATAATAAAATAGCAATTTAAAGTTAAATTTATGGGATGGTATGAAATAGTTCCAAGTTTTGTCTTGTACGCCACATTTTTTGTGGCTCCAGCTTTCATACTACCAGCAATTCATCTTGTTTTTATTCATAAGGTATCATTTTATCAATTACTGATCATAGTAGTATTTTAGCCAAATGCGCGACACGTTGCTGGTTATTTTAATAGGCCTATGTTAAAAAGAGATATTAGATTAACTAATGGAAACCCAGAAAATCATATTGTATCATTATTAGCCTATAAATTCATTTTATTTTTTGTATAGGGACTTGAAAAATTGCAAAGTAAAGAAGAAATTGCTGCCTTATATTTGAATTTAATCAAAAACTAATATGTAGATTTTAATATATACAATGGCATATTTATTTTATAATGCTTGGTGCAAATTATAATAAATTCAGATTTATTGGTGATTAATATTGATTTTAATTGTGAAAAATTAACTATAAACATCAATATGCTTGATATTTCATACAATAAAGAAAAGAATGGAGATATTTCATAGTTGTGAGAAAAATATTTATTTTTCTAATTTTAATTCTTAAGAAAATTTGAAAAATTAATTGAAAAAACTTATTAACAATAAAATTTTTATATGCTAAATTTTGATTATTCCCTATACCTTTTGTCACAAATTAAATATAGGTTATTTCTTTACTATATAAACAAAAAAAATCTTTTGATTATTGTTATAAATAGTTTTATTATTTTTTTTGTATGAGTCATGAAATATTTTTTTTGTTTGAAATTTTATTTTTAATATTTTTTTTTTTGTTTCGCGCAGTCATCTTGAACGTCATTATATAAATATTTTTTTTGTTTGAAGTTTTATTTTAATATTTTTTTTTTGTTTCGCGCAGTCATCTTGAACGTCATTATATAAATATTTTTAATATTTATTATGTAAAAAAAAATAAATAATAATTTAATATTTATAAAAAAAAATAATAATAATCTTATATAAACTAAAAAAAAGTGGAAATTCATAATTATTATCAATTATATTTTTTTTATTGTTTTAAAGAAAAATAAAACCAATTTATTCAAAAAAAAAAAGGGGTAAAAAAATAAATAAATATACTGTTAAGTTAAACATTTCTGTACGGTGAAATTTTGAAATTGGTGCCGTGTTTATACAAAGCAACCTGGTTAGTGCGGTTGTCGTAATATCATATAGTGGTATTTGAGTCTTCGAGTGGAAAATATCATATAGTGGTATTTGAGTCTTCGAGTGGAAAATATCATATAGTGGTATTTGAGTCTTGAAGTGAAGTGTACATCGTCTTCATCTACACGGTAAAATATCATATAGTGGTATTTGAGTCTTCGAGTGGAAAATATCATATAGTGGTATTTGAGTCTTGAAGTGAAGTGTACATCGTCTTCATCTACATCTACGGTAAAATATCATATAGTGGTATTTGAGTCTTCGAGTGGAAAATATCATATAGTGGTATTTGAGTCTTGAAGTGACATCGTCTTCATCTACATCTACGGTAAAATATCATATAGTGGTATTTGAGTCTTCGAGTGGAAAATATCATATAGTGGTATTTGAGTCTTGAAGTGAAATCGTCTTCATCTACATCTACGGTAAAATATCATATAGTGGTATTTGAGTCTTCGAGTGGAAAATATCATATAGTGGTATTTGAGTCTTGAAGTGAATTGTACATCGTCTTCATCTACATCTACGGTAAAATATCATATAGTGGTATTTGAGTCTTCGAGTGAAAAATATCATATAGTGGTATTTGAGTCTTGAAGTGAATTGTACATCGTCTTCATCATCGACATCAGCTGTCCATTTATTTTATTTTTTTTCTCTTCTCTCTCAAAATAAAAAAAAAGTCTTATCGTACGGAAGTGCTGTCCGAATTTTACGAGTTGTAAATCTGTTACACAAAATTTGCCCAAATTTTTGTCGTATCTTTAGACTTATTAACTGTAGATGTACATGTGTATTATTGGGTTGTTTACACTATTAATAATATCATATCTATTAACATTACAAATAACAAAAATTTTTATTTTGAAATTAATTATAAATTTTTTATAAGGTCGAAATGAAAAGTTTAAAATTTGTAAAATACTGGGAAATACAGTATAATATTTTTGGGGCATTGGTTATATTAGTAATATGGATGTGTAGCTTAATATGGGGAAGAAAGTTGAGAAGAAGTCGAAGTGTGAAAATAAAGGGGCAGACATTGACTATAGAAGGACATAATGGGGAAGAGGATGTTATGGGAAAGATAACATGGTTCCCAGTGCAGGAGTTAATTAATGGGTGGACGGATAGCGAATTAGATAAATTAACCTATAGGCCTGAAAGGAGAGATTCATATACTAATCAGAGATTGGGGACATATAGGGGACCTAGAGAAAGTTCACAGGGAAGGAGAGGAGAAATGAGACCCAACTTTGATTCAAGAGTAAGGGGGAGAATGAATTGTTATAATTGCGGAAGACAGGGACATATGGTCAGAGATTGCCAAGAAACGAAATGTTTTGAATGTGGAAAATATGGACATATAGCCACGTTTTGTTCAGGAAGACGTGATAAGCTACGATGTGCAGGTTGTGGTCGATTTGGTCATAATAGGGAGGAATGCAATGTGGGTAATTTCAAAACTAGAGGCGGTTTTCCGCAGAGGGACATGGGGCAAAGTGCTCCAAATGTTAGAATTATAGAAAGTGAAAAAAATAAAGAGGTAGGAGTACCATTTTTGGCTGTGAATAAAGAGCAGAATAGAATCTGTTTCCGTTGCCGGAAGGAAGGACATGGGGCGAGAGATTGCGAGTATTTGTGACTATATGATGGCAAAGAGCATGCCGCAAAGGTCGGGGGGCTTTGGGCGAAAGAGATGGAAAGATTAGATTATAGTGAGAAAGATTGGGTATCAAAAAGCATATATATGATACAAGAGGAAAGGATACATGATCCTTGCCCTAGAGTTTGGATAAATTTGAATGGAAATATGGTATCCATGTTATTTGATACCGGGGCAGCCATATCCGTGATGGGATATGAGAAATATCAGAGTATTTGGTCGGAAGGGATAATTAAACGGGAGGACATCAAGATCCGTCAGTTGGATGGATCAGAAGTCGCAGTGATGGGAAGGGTGGAGTTAAAGGTGATATTAGAGAATAGAGTGGAGATTTTGGACTTATGGATAGTAGATCGAAAAGTAGAGTCAGTAGTGGGATGGGATTGGATCACCCGAATTGGTCCAGATTGTGGTTTTTGGGGGTATTCGCATGGTGTGGTGTATTTTTACCTGTTGCAAGATATGAAGAAAATAGAGATATGAATTTGTGGTATGGAGAGAGATTGCCAGGAATTGAAACCTTTTTGGATGGGGAAAGGAGAAGAGAGGATAATAGGGTTGTTAGAGACTGTAGGGGAGGTTTTGGGGGGAACTATAAGGGAGGTTTTGGGGGGAACTATAGGGGAGGTATTGGGGAGAATTTTAGGGGAGGTATTGGAGAGAATTTTAGGAGTTGTCGCGACTTTGGGAGAAAGGAAGAAAGAAATGATACTGAAGAACAGAAAGAAATTCATGATCAAGGAAAGTTTGAAGCGGAGCTGGAGAGATTGGCAGATGGGAAAATAATGTTGCCAGAAGAAGAGACTAGAGAAGATGATGATTTGGAACAAGGAAATACTAAGGGAACACATAGCCAACAAATGGAAATGGATGGAAAGGAAACGAGACGACGGGAAGAGAGGGAATTGCGGGATAGAGAGATAGAATTTGGTATGATCAAAGTACAAGAGGGAGTGAGAAACTTGATGAAAAATTACAAGGAGATTTTTGATGAGAAGTTGGGTTGTCTCCGAGATTATGAAGTGGATATCAAATTAAAGGAGGGATATGTGCCCAAGTTTTGTGCATTACGTCGGATACCGTTCGAATGGCGAAATGAAGTAGACAAGGAATTGGAGCAGTGGGTGCAGAAGGGCATTGTTTGTCCAGTGGAATATAGCGAATGGGCAACACCGTTAGTACCCGTGAAGAAGGCCAATGGAAAGCTTCGTTTATGCGCTGATTTTCGGGTCACGCTAAACCCGTGGGTTGTGGAGATAAAATATCCGTTACCTCGGATTGAAGAAATATTAGCTAATTTAAAGGGTAGCATATATTTTTCAAAGGTGGACTTTTCGAACGCTTACTTACAATTGAAGGTGAAACCCGAGGTACAAAAGCTATTAACGATCACGACTCCGAAGGGATTGTATGCCTTCTGTAGATTGCCGTTTGGACTTAGCGTGTCGGCTCCAATTTTTCAACGAACGATGGCGGCAGTTTTTCAAGGACTAGAGGGAGTATTTTACTACATGGATGACGTATTAGTGATGGGAAAGACTCCCGAGCAACACGAACGAAGATTGGAGGAGGTGTTCAAAAGGATCAAGGATAAAGGATTGCGGGCAAGCGTTGAAAAAAGTGTGTTGGGAGTATCAGAAATCGTATATTTGGGGCATAAAATCAATGGGAAAGAGGTCAGACCTTTAGACAAAAATATGGCAAATATAACAAGCATGTTGAAGCCTAATAATAAAGTGGAAGTACAAGCTTTCTTAGGAATGGTGAATTATTATCACCGTTTTGTGGAAGGCTTCGCGCAGATAGCGGCGCCGTTGTATAAATTGTTAAAGAAAGGAGAAAGATTTGAATGGAAGATTGAACAGGAGGAGGCTTTTGAGGAGTTGAAATTGAGGATTGGAAGGGAACCAGTACTAGTATGTTTTGATAACGATGTGCCAGTGATATTGGCCGTTGATGCTTCAAATAGGGGTGTGGGTGGAGCGCTATTACATTGTATAGACGAATTGGAGAGACCTATTTTATTTTTCTCAAGAATCTTTAGAGAGGCCGAGACAAGATATTCAGTGATCGAACAAGAAGCGCTAGCGGTTATATTTGGATTGACTAAATGTCGGGAATACTTGATCGGACGTCGATTTGTCATATATACGGATCACAAGCCCTTGGTTCATCTTTTCAGAAAGGACAACAAGGAGCTCATGTTGTCGCCTAGGTTGCAGCGATGGCTATTGCTGGTAGGCAGTTTCGACGTGCAAGTGAAATACCGACGAGGAAGAGAAAATTACTTACCGGATATTCTTTCTAGATGTGGAGCGGGAGAGGATTGCGAAACGAGTAGGTCGAAAGATATGGATGAAGAGGATGAGCACGGGTTGATTAGAGCGATAGTCGGAATATCTAAAGGAGGACCAGTTGCATGGGAACAACTCAAAAATGCTACTTTAAAAGATCGCGAGTTGACGAGAATCAAAGCGTGCATATTGGGTCGGAAGCAATGGCGAGATGGGGACAAGAAGTTCAAGCAAGTGGAGAAAGAGCTAACGATAGTGGACGAGTGTGTGGTACGAGGAAGTCGGGGAGTGGTGCCGTCCAGATTGCGGGAGGCAGTAAAGACAATGATCCATGCTGGACATCAGGGTATGGAACGAAT